CCCCCCCCCCCATCACGACCAACTGTAGTGTCTATTCCGGTCAGTTTCATATCTGATCCAGGGACCATCAGGACCCCCTAAAATGATAAAACGAACAGAAAAATCACATGCGCGCACACCATACACAGAGAGAGAGAGAGAGAGAGAGAGAGTTTGAAGGCAGGTTTGCAAGTAGATAGTGAAATACACACTTGATAGGAAGGCAGCAAACATGCACACACATGCGTTGACAAAATAACGCAATGATAGGAAGAAGTAGTTAAGTTCAATCCAGAACAAGCGGATCCGATCGCCTCCCGACGATAGTCCTCAGGGGGTTTCTTCCACCTGCATCCCCCACATTCCCTGCTCGCCACCAACCCTCCTCCGCCGTCGACATCCCGAAAATGCTGACTGCACCATCGGTCCCAAAGGCACCACATGGCATCCATACAACATTGGTTGATCATAAACATTCTCGGAAAACACAGCAAACAGACCGCCTCAAAACAAGAACTACCCCCTCCCCAGGCCCCTCGCCAAACAGACTGCCTCAAAACAAGAACTACCCCCTCCCCCCGCCCCTCACCTCTCTCCCATTCATCTTAACTTTTGGTTATTTGCATGCGAAACCGCAACAGGTACCCTTGTACCATATAAGAACGGCACCATTCAGATGGTACTCTGAGAATTAATGCCATTTATTAAATGGTACCAAGTACGGACCACAAGAATGACATCATAAGGTAGGTGACTTTTATCCCTCTTCTTTTTACTTCCCTTCGTCTACGAAACCTTATGGCCTTGACATATCATCATGGAGCTGACTGGCCTCAGGTAAGTGGAGTTGTTCATCTGATACCATCAGGATTTGACCTCAGGTCAGTTTATCAAGAGTTGATGGGTGCAGTGTTCAGCCACATGGTCTGGGTAGAGAATGGTAACTTCAACAATGGTGCCATCTGCACTTTGTAATCTCCTTGGGCAAGGCGAGAAGGTCAAGCTATTTTTCATTACCAAAAGAATTTCTTTTTCTTTTCATTACCAAAAGAATTTCTGTTCCTGTTGCAATTGACACCATTTTTTCAAAGGTACCATAAGAACAGAATGGTACCGTTCAAATGGTCACCGTAAAGACAATACCGTCAAAAGGTACCTAATAAGAATGATATCACAAGAAGGGTGACTTTGAAAATGGCATCACAAGAAGGATAATTTAGAAAATGGTATTGCAAGAAGCGTAACTTCAAAAACGGTATTGCGAGAAGGGTAACTTTGAAAATGCTATTGCGAGAAGGGTAACTTTGAAAATGTTATAAAAAGAAGAGCAACTTAATTTTATCACGAGAAGGGTAACTTTGAAAACGGTATCACAAGAACGGCACCGGAGGGGAGATACAGTCCAAAAATCACCCAAGAATAAGGGTATCACAACAACGGTATCATTGGAAAAAATGGATGGGATGGTACTAATCATGGCACAATTATATTTAGTGGGGTACAACAAGGCAGCAGTTCCTTGGCCAAGCCAAGATGACATGAAGTAATTCCCATTACCCAATCAACAAAAAAAAAAAAAAACGAACATGTAAATGTAATAGCCTACGAGAACAAACATAAACGCACCATAGTCCTCCTTTGGCCGCTGCCCGTGATCACCAAGCACTGCAGTCACCAGCTCCATGCAAATTGCTAACCTGTTATTCTGCCGCCAATCAAATCAAAGACCCTCTGAGCACCAAGCACATAATGTTACGAGTAAAGAGTTTCTTCAACTTTCTTGCCATCCTTTTTTTTGTCAGGTTTATTATGCTTTGGGTTCGGTGTAATACTTATATGTATTATTGGAATTATAAGTTCTAATATTAAATTACTTGAAGCCAATGGTAAACTAATTTTATGAATTAGATTATTGATTCTATTCTATTGTAATATGGTATATGTATTTTTTTGAATAAAAAAATACATGTAACTGGATTATTTGGTCCTGGTATATGGATTTCAGACCCAGAATTCTGTTCGTTTTTTGCCCCTCGCTTTGCCTCTTCCTTTCTGTTATGCCTTGAACAAGGTGTGGCATTTTTGTTCTCCTCGTTGCCGCCACCATGCTCACTTTCCCTCGTCCTTCCCATTTTCCTTCAACGAGTGGAGTGCTCTGGGATCTATAAGCTACTACATCACTATATAATATAATATATATCAAGTATAATTATACATTAATTAATAATTATGATATATATTCAGTGGTCTGGGCCCTGGGGTGTTGTCATGCTGGAATAATTTTGTCCGTCATGCTGCAGGAAAAGAAAATCCGCTATGGTAGGGGTAGGCAGATAAAATCCGTTATGCAGGGGGTGGCCAATTACAAAATCTGTTATGCTGGTGGTCACGGATAACAAAGTGTCCGTTACACTGAGCAGGTGATGGATAACAAAACACCCGTTCGAGTGTGGAGGTAATGGGTAATAAAATATCCTTTACACTGTCAAGGTAATGGGTAAATTACCAAATTCATTATGCTCTTGTGGAGATTTTGAAGTTTTCAATAAAAAAATGCGTTATGCTGAGGGTGAGGGATAACAAAATATCCGGTATACTGTTGAGGTAATGGATAACAAAATATATGTAATGCCTTTATGGGGCGGGTACCACCAACCGTTATGCTGGGGATAAAAATCCATTGCACTGGCATGCCGAAATCCATCCTGCTGGGATACCAACATCCAATATTTTGAGATGAAAAAATGTGTTATGTTGGGATAACAATTTCCATTATCCTCGGGTTCTAAAAAATTAGTTACGGTGTCCTTCAGGACATTGTTAAAACTAGAATGATACAGAGAAGATTAGCATGAAAAAAAAAAAAAAAACGGTTAAGCTGAGGATAACAAACTGTCAAGTAGTATCAACACCAGACAGAATATGTTACAATCTATCTTATATGATACTCTCTTAAAGCATAAACCGGGTGTCGGGAAACGCATCCCAATCGCCCCAAGGGAAATTTTTCCCAAGGATGTTCTCTGCACAGGCTGTTCGGATACGAGTACAACCCTGGGCCTTGGGATGTCACGGACTCGAATTGTGGTGGACCTCACGGGGCAGACAGCCAGGTCAGGATAACGAAACAGCACGAAGCGACAAAAACAAAGCAAGAAAACAAAAAAAGAAACGACAAAAAAAAAAGACAAACAAAAAGAAAAGCAAGCCACATTATCACAGAAGATAAGTTCTGGACGCACCTGGACCATGTCGATACATATGGAGTACTATACACCGGAGAATAAATGAATAAATAAATAAAATAACCAAATAAACCACCTGGGGTTAACATATTACGGCAATCCTCAAATCATGTGAATCATTCATACTGTACGCTCTCTCATCCTGCTGCGAACATATCTGGCCGCATTACAGCCTAAATTAAGTCGTCAGAGCCCAAGTGTGAGTATGACCTTCATGTTGGGCCCCGCTTTTCTGCCTCACTATCGTACCAAGAAAAAAGGGCAGTGCAGACGAGCACGGTAGGTGCAGGACCGAACAGAGGGGCGAGGACGAGGCGAAAGGAAGGTGGGAGAGGAATGAGCCAGAAGGGGGGAGGGGGAGGGGGAGGAAAGAGAGGAAAAGGTGGGGGAGAGAGTCTACAGGCGGCAGAGAGGAAGTTACCTCGACCGCATCTGACAGCTCCTGTTGCTTCTTTAGGTAATCAGCTCCCCAAGCATTTTCAAGTGTTTTGCCAAGCACATAGACTCCAACTGCTGTATACCTGTTACAGTTTGGAGTTCCAAGTTCCAACAAGGAAAATGTTGAGGAATATCCACAAACAAGTGAGATGAGACCCACACATGAATTTCAACATTTTGCTCATTTCAACTGGAAATGCTTACTACATGTTGAAAACTCGCACGAGATCTTCCACCAACACAACACTTTCAATGTTGAGCATTTGCTGATGCATACCTGCCGCAGTTCAGCGCTGTAACAGCAAAAGAAGAAGAAGAAAGTTATTATTAGTTGATTACAACAATGATTAGTAAATTATTAATTTAGGGGAAAAAGAGGCCTCCACAAATTTTCTCAGAGAACAAGATTCTCGAGATTTGTTTACGTTGACCGAGACCACAAGTTCTTTTCCAATCTACTTTGCAAGCTGAAAGGGCAGCTTCCATTAACCACTTTGCACTTTAAAAGTTTAAACCATACTTGCAAGCAGACGGACCGGACGAGCGTCCGGTCCGGTCCGCTTTGCCGCATGCGGCACCCTCCCCCCGGACCAGACGGACCCGGACCAGATTGGACAGGGCCATTATTTTTTATTTTTTTGGGGGGTGGGGCGTAATTGGTCGTCGGGCGCACATTCGTGCGCCGCGCGGGTCCGGTCCGGCGGTCTGCCGCACGTGCGGAAACGCCCGGACGGCGTCCGCTTGCAAGTATGGTTTAAACGCATCTACTATCTGTTTTCTGCCCTCACTGGATATGAGGAGGCTCTCCCTTTTTCCGTTGGTGAAGGTCCCTCCCAACTCCAGCCCTCAATACAAGTTCATTGAACTTCCAACACTTGGCATCATAAGCAGAGCTTCAGCACAAACTACTTCCCCTGACTCCAACACACTGCTGACCAAGGACAAGATATTGCCTGCCAACACTAGCAGCAACTGCACACATTCCCGAACAACTTCGCCTGACGTCAACACATCTTGATCAAGGCCCCTGAACAGCCAGCACAAACATTTCCGCAGCAACCCAATGAATCTACCCACATTAGTCGGGGTCGCATTTGGCCAGCTTCTGTCTTGCTGGCTGTTGATCCTTTTCAGAAGAAAAGATCCTAGCCCGTGGAACCTGTTCCATTCTTCTTTAAACAGTTCCACAAGGAACGCCACATTATTCAGGAAAACCTTACAGAGTGATCCTCTCTCTCTCTCTCTCTCTCTCTCTCTCTCTCTCTCTCTCTCTCTCTCTCTCTCTCTCTCTCTCTCTCTTTGCTGTGAACTTTCACCACCACAGCCCCTGTTCCGCCCAGACGAGTAGATCCAATATCGATGCAGCTCTACCTCTGTTGCAGACAATGAAGCACACGTAAGATGACCTGCCAAAACACGGACTGAGAACACAGCCGATTTCCGAGTTTTGCCGCTAGAATGAATGCCTTGCTGAGATTCCCACTTTCTGCTGACTTTCTGAGTCTGTGTGTGTGCGTGCTTGTTGGTCTGTGTGCCTGACTGAGTGCTTGTCGGCTTGCGTATATGTGTGACCCACAGGGGCACTTGTTCCTTTGGAAGGCCCGCAGGACCGGTACTTACCTGTGTACTTTCAGGGTTGCAGCGGGGAAAACACTCGAGCGCAAGTAGGCCTGCGACGCTTCAGCAGGGAAAAACACTAAGAGTAGTACGTAGGCCGGTACACGCTAGTTGTGGTAGATGTGTCTGGGACTGGAGAAGAGCAGAAAAAGATAAAAGTTGACAATTCTAGAGGCCAGTAGCGGTAGGCTAGGTCTAGCAGGGTACCAGTCCAAGTAGTCATTAGTCTAGGGCCTGTGCGGACGATATCAGAGCCTGCAATGATGTTTCCCTCCGAAAAGGCACCGGTTGCTTGGAGGCCGCATGGCCTGGAAGCCACCCCCCAAGGAGGCTGCTGCCTCGCTATATCACTGGGAAGAGCAATCAGCTCTTCCTCATTTGCTGCATGCAAGTTTGGGTGACATGCTGCTGAAGCGCGTGGTGGAGCAGCGCTGCTGGGGAAGGAGCGCCCAGCTCTCTACCTTGGCATGGTGGAGGAGCTTGGGCATGAGGAGAAGAAAGAAAGGGACTAGTAGAGGGGAGCGCCAGGGGTACTTACCTGGCTATGGTGGACGGCATCTTCATCACCTTGGTGGGCACCGCACCTAGAAGGCCCCCGTAGGGGTAGAGCTGCATCAAGAAGCTTTTGAGGCAGAGTCAGGCATCGCAGCCTGAGCGGAAGAGGCCATAGGTGCTTCGCGTTGTCTTTTTCACATCAGGGCAAGGCCCTAGTAGTCCGCCATAGCCTCGGCCAATGTGAAGACAAAGAGAAGGGCGGGCATGGCTATGGTGGACCTCAAGTTGTGCTGGCAGTAGAAGAGGGATTCTGACATTGATCCTGGTTCCGCCATTCATCACTTGTATTATTAACTATTGTTTGAATAAGAGGGGAGGAGAAAAGGAAGTTTGGTTGGCCAGAAAGGGGACTAGAATCAACTCTTATGGCCGTGAGCATGAAGAAACACAAGCTCCTCTTTCATATTTTTTGTATCCCGGCGTCGTTGACACCAACGCCAAATGCTAATCAGCTCTGGTTTTAATTAGTTCATACCTTTTTTTTCACTGATTAAAATCAATCCATCCATTGATGAGTGGAAGAAGGTTCCACTGAGCGGAATGGACGAACATCCTCACTTGATTAAAATCAGAGCTGATTAGCATTTGGTGATGGCATCAACAACGCCGGCACACGCAAAATATGGAGAGGAGCGGTGCAACCGGTGTGGCAACATCCCCACCAATAGAATTTGAGATTGAAACTTACAAAAAGAAAAGAGATGATAGCTATAGACTGATGGGAGGAGCTCCAGACATGAAGAGACGACGCATAGCAGCACACAAAGGGGGGGGGGAAGGAGAAAGGCACGTGATAAAGAAGAAGCGCTCGAAAGGATGTGGCAGTATCACGTCATCATCTTTTTTTTCTTTCTTAGAATCTAGGGTGAAACTTTAGGAGCCTCCTCGACCTCTTCCACCACATAACCTCCTTAACGTCGGCAAACTTCCCTTGCATGCTACACCCTATCCCAGTGACTCTCCTTCTGCTTCCTTTGTCGTCACATCCAATCCTGAACAACTAAATCCTGACCCTCTCCTCCTCCTCAACCACCCTCCTCCTCCCGCATCCTCACCTTTCCCTGTTCATTTTTCTCCTACTACTCCAGCCTCTCAAGATTTTGATGGTGACCTTCTCGTGCCTGCATGACCAGGCACTTAACCTCCCCCTCGCATCCTTCTCACCCTGCCTCTCCTCATACTCCTACCTATAGCGGCCGTGCACACATCTTGCCCCACTTGCAAAATAGAAACCCTGCAAAAATGGAGCTGCCCTAAGCGAATGGACGGATGGATGGAGGGAGGAGGGCAGGAGGGAGAGAGCGAGGAGGAGGGGGGGGGGAGGGGGGAGAGAGAGAGAGAGAGGAGGGGAGAGGGAGAGGGTGCACATCGCCATGCCAGGCAAAGCCACCTATTTCACTTCTGGGCTGGCTGTGAATGGAACTCTCCACCTCTCAAGGCACAACACCTGTGATAGAGGGATGAGGGAGAGAGGGCGCACTTCGCCACGCCACGCGAGCCGAGTGTGGATACAACTGTCTGGATCTTCCGGCACAACACAGCGGCCACACAGACAGAGAGAGAGAGAGAGAGAGAGAGATGAGAAAGACCCGCCACCGTGATGGCTGTTGGTGCATTCAAACAGCCGTCACCCCATCAGAGGAGCAGCAGCCGTGCCCTAACAGGGAGGGTTTAGTAATGGGTTCGAGTATGGATGGGTCCCTTCCATCCGATCTGGAAATCTCACTGTCACAGCGTGACCACATTGAAAAATTTCTCAAAACTAAACTGAACTGCAGCCGTAGCCCCGACCCCCCACCGAAAAATAGGACTATACAGGCCTCACCGCACCGCTCAGCAATGTTCTTTCAATGTTCTTGAGGGCGATTCATTTTCACTTTGCATATTTGGCGACTGGTGCGGCGAGGCGCACGGCAGAGAGCAATGAGGGGGGGGGAGGGGAAGGGGAACGGCCTTCGGATACTAGGCCTCGACGCACCTCAGACCAAACTTGTTGGTCGGCGGTGCGTTGAGGCCAGTATCCCAAGACCCTTTTCGTTTTTCTTTTTTTTGTTTCGCTCTGCACCAAGTAGATAGAAATTCAACCAGTCAATGTACCCCAGAGTTATACTTAGCAAACAGAACCACAGAAGTAAACAGAGCAACATAAATTATGCATGTATATAACAGAGCAACATAAATTATGTATGTATATAACAGAGCAACATAAATCATGTATGTATATATCTATCTATTTGTCTATCTATGAAACTCAGTTTGCTTTGCACAGCCCACAACTCTGGAAGAAGCTCACAAAAGTACATGCACCTATGTGCAGGTATTCCACAAAAGAAAACGAGAGTGAAGGGGGTTGGAACTAGGGGGCTGGGGAAAGGTGGAAAAGAGGTACGGAAGACTCTTCACATGGGGACACTACTACAACAACGCACATGCTCGGGAAAACTTACAAGTTACCAAAACTGTTTTTGGCAAAGGCTCCACAGTGTGCTCCAGACCACATGTATAGGGAGCCTGAGTGTTTCAAAGAGACCTGCAGCAAGCAGCGTAACAGCAGTAGCACAAACCTAGAACATTAGGAACCCTTCATAAATCAATCAAATGGTATGCGCTGTAGGCACCCATCACTAGGACTGACCCTACCAACACGATCCAACCAGAATAAGGACAAACAGACAAAGGGGAACATCCTTCTCCACTTTAGACTACGCACCAACAGTACATTTCCCAGCCATTTTGTGAGAACGCGGCCGTGCACGCAACGCATCTGGCGGGATGTACCGGCCTGCGACCGGGAAAAGAATTCATCCAGGCAAAACGAGCCATGCACGCCCCACGACTTACTGGATTTACTTTTTGAGACATGGCAGCACGGTACATCCCCCCATATATGCGTGCACGGCCGTGTTCTCACAAAATGGCTGGGAACAGTGGGAAGCATACTGGTGCTTTAATCTCAACCCCACAGGAAGGAGCAGTCGATTACACATCAATATTTAAATACCCGACATATGGAGGCTTCGACCACATGCAGCTTAGATAACATCCCGGGGCACAGTTTTTAAACTCTTCTCAACATAAACAACTCACTACTTGAGCAGGAAGAGATCACGACTGAAGTAATCGGCACTTGGCAAAGGATGACAACTTGAATTCAAAGAACAGACCTACCAATCCAAGTTCCTGAAGGCAGTCTTATCCCATGGAAAAAACAGCAGAATGAAATATGGTTCGAGAAACGGATTCCCTCATCTACTTTATCCTGCAAAAGACGACGACTCCAAATACGAGCAAGGGTAAGGGATTGGGAATCGAACAAGGCGATGACCAAATACTCATACCAAAAGATCAAATCATTCAAATCCAATGCTAGGAATAACAGAATGCTAGCCTTGCAGGATAGCTCAGGTAGAATGCAAACTAGTCAGACGGAACGACAGGGTTATCAACTAGCTTTTATCAACACCTACACACCACCAGCACTCCCAAGTCAAGACGAGCTGATGTAAGAAGAGCAAGAAAATAAATTATTGCATTCCCTAGACACTAGCCTGAGACCGGAAGCCACACCTACATAAACAAGGACCTGACTGAGGCCTGACTCTAGGGAAGGACGGTCTCTCCGAGGAGCTTTGGTTATAACAGTGGGGAGTCTTAGGGAAACTATCTCTTCAAGTTCTATCAGAAAGCCTTCGAGTGTCGTACTCAAGGGGAAGAAGTAAGCACAGGAATAGTGAACCCCATACCTTAAAAAGGTCCCACAAAATAGGCCCATCTCGCTATTACCAATAGCATAGCAAAAGCTCTAGCAAATAGGATTAAGAATGTTCCAGGCCTCCTTTCTGTTGTGATAATGAAATGCTATATACTCCTCTTAAAAGAAAAAAAAAAACAAAAAGAAGCTTACAGACAAACGTTTCGACCAGAGCAAAAAGGCATAACCTAGACAATGTAATCTGCCTCACAGAAGTCACCAAACTACTTGGGGACAAAAAATGCAGGCGGTCATTCTTTTATTCGACTTCGAAAAAGCACAGACCAGGTCAACTGGGACTTTCTCAACATCTGCATGGGTAAAATGAGGCTGTGACAAAACTTCAGTCCATGGGTAAGTGTACTATACGTGGATGCAAGATTCCTTTTTGTCATGAAAGCAATAGCCGCATTCGTAAGGCTTACCTAAGTTTCCTTCAATAGAGAGACCGCTGGTGGAACTTTAAATAGACATTTCAACTTCCCTGAAGTAATGCTCTTTGCGGACGACCTCAGTGTCAAACAACCCTTTCCAAGCTCTCAAAGTTGCCATGCAAGCGATTCAGTTGGCTTCAGAAATGACAATCAACTGGAAAAAAATAGTTGTAGGCCGGTGGATGGCAGACGCACCTCCTCCGCCGATAGAAGGAGACTCAAGGCCTTCAATGGTTGGACCCACAGCAACCCGCCGAAGCTAAGGAAATGATACAGATAGAAATCAGAGCAGTATGGCCAAAATACCTCTGGAGGATCAATCGGGAAGTCCACCCACTGAAAAGGACGGGCCTGCAGAAGGAATTTGAAACAGAATGGCTTCTGCAAACAAGCCATTATGTGCCGAAGGAGTTTGAAACAGACTGGCTTCTGGAAAATCGACATGGCAGGCATTAAGACCCTATCCAATGTATCCATCATATTCAAGGGCTAGTGTAAGGCAGGGCCCATTTCAACTCAGGGTCCACCAAAAGAGGCAGAGGAATACGTAGGCAGGGAATGAGACGGCGCCAACTCTTAGGCCTGTTATCGGACAACTCCCTGAAAAGACACATTTGCCTTTGAAAAAAGCAAAATTGCCACGTGCAAAGTGGAGGGAAGGGAAGAGCAGAGAGAAAGAGAGAGGGACTGTAAAACACACCTCAAGCACACCTCCTCCTGTGGCCACTGCATTTATCATCCTTGTTCGAATCTGCAGACACACCCCGCGCAAAGCATCCATGGACACTCAATTTAGAGAAGTTTAGACATTAAAATTCCGTTCACACAAATAAAGTTAATAAACCAAAATACAAAAGGCGGTCAGTAATTTACATGCACCGTGCTCTCTCTCTCTCTCTCTCTCTCTCTCTCTCTCTCTCTCTCTCTCTCTCTCTCTCTCTCTCTCTCTCTCTCTCNTCTCTCTCTCTCTCTCTCTCTCTCTCTCTCTCTCTCTCTCACACACACACACACACACACACACACACACACACACACACACGTTGAACACACACGTTCTCCCTCTCCCTCTTACTCACATACATGCGCAAACACGGCTCGGGAAATCCAGGCACAGAAGAACCCATGCATCATCATAGTAGAAAACAGTTCCTCATACCAATAACAGCAGAAACATAGGGCATGGAAAATGAGCGCACAGACTTGGCAAGCAAGCAGTCCATATCCGGTGAATGTGACGCCTGTTGTTTACATCAGATGGGCAGCTCAAGTAGCATGGCATGGAAAGTGAATGATCCCCCAGGTGTTGCAACCACCGGACATACTCACAGGTATAACAGCCCCTACAGCCACAATGTAGACAAACTATCACAATTCATTTCTTCTCTTTTAACTGCGGCTGCACATTCTTAATCACATGAAATGAAGGCCAGATGCCCAGGCCCGCACCCCATAGACTGTTCATCGAAGCAATAATAAAGTAGAATCCACAGACAGAGAGCAACCACTATAAACCATCCATCTGGACTTCCCTATAACACACTCCGCTTTGTGCATTCAAAATCAGAGCAGAAAAACATCAACACCTCACTCCAGCCATTTTCAGGCCATTGTAACAACGATAGGGGGAAAGGGAGTCTGTCAAGCTTGGTTAGTGCCAACTGACCGCACCTCCTGGTCCGACTTTTCATTCTCAAACTTCGGATAGAACGTCGCCCGGAAAACAGACTTGGCCGCTGTCACCTTCCTCCTTGATCTCTGCACCTGTGTCTGTGGCTGGTACGTGACAGCCATCCCTGCTCCCTGTGGTATGTTCATGATAGGACCAGTCATGGCTCCTCCTTGCGGTACGTTCATGATAGGACCAGATGCAACAGGACCCCGACCTGCTAATGCCTGGGCTGCAGCAGCTGCCGCCTGCTGTGCAGCTGCCGATGACGAGGGGCCATTCATCCCCTGTGGCTGGTGACCATTTGCTCCAGGATTTCCTCTCCCTGGTCCTGGAGCATTCCTGGTTCTGATGACGGCTCCGCCCTGCAAAGCCTCAGCTTGTGGTGCACGTCCACTTCCTCCAGCTTGAGCCACAGGTCCTTTCGCCCTGTACGTGAGCCCCCCTCCACCGCCATTTCCTGCGCCAGCAACCCCAGCATTCACATGTGGCGCGACAACATTTGGAGCACCAGTCGGGTACGAGTGGTTAGGTGGATAATACACTTGGACTGCTTGCTGAGCCTGATAAGCAGGGGCAGCAACCACAACTCCCTGTCTCTGCTGCTGCTGTTGCTGCTGGTATTGCTGTTGCTGCGGGTATTGCTGCTGCTGTGGGTAGTTGTTATTCCCACCATACCCCTGGGAGTAGTTTTGATTCCCGCCATACCCCCGGCCACGACCCCTTCCTCGTCCTCTCGATGGACCCGTCATTGTCCCCTGTACTGGTGACACCAACACCTTTATAGATCATGAAAACATCAACCCACCGTCACCCCACCACAACATACCACAAAACCAGCAAACTAGTTAGTGTCAGGGCATTTGCACATTAAATTTTGTGTTGCTTCACGCTGAAAATGTAGAATACTTATGATCAAAGCGCAAGCATCTGCTAGAAGCATAGTGTTCGTTGAGCCGAGAGAAGGTTAGCATCTCCCTCGATAAGAACGGGAATAGTCTACGGACTATATGAACACATACGGTTTAGGCTAACCACCCTCGTGTGGATAAAAAAAAAAAAAAAAAAAAAAAAAAAAAGTTAAAATTAAAAAAGGCAGCAGCAATCCGTTAAAGAAGCTAATGTGCCAATCTTTCTCTCCTAGTGCTCATTCGTCGTTCATTCGTCATTCATTCACCGTTCATTCGTCGTTCATTCGTCGTTCATTCGTCGTTCATTCGTTGTTCATTCGTCGTTCATTCGCCGTTCATTCGATTGCACCATATTTTACAGAAAACAGAATTTCAAGATATTGACTGTAACTAGACAAGCTGCAAAAAAGAACATGATAGTTCCGAAAGTGTAACACTTTCATAGAGTTGTACACCTGTTTTGTACTCCCATATCGTGGATCCATTAATGTGCAAATGCAATGTTCATATACAAACATCTAAGAAAAATAGGGGGGGGAAAACGATGCAACAACAGGGATTGGCGCACAAAGGACAATCAGTCTATCACAACATTCCCCAAAGACAAGTAAATAAGAGTAATGTGTGTGTGTGTGTGTGTGTGTGTGTGTGTGTGTGTGTGTGTGTGTGTGTGTGTGTGTGAGAGAGAGAGAGAGAGAGAGAGAGTTACGGTTTGCCTCAGCCATTATCCATCACCCATCATCCATCACCAACCATCGATCTTGCTTTCCCTAAACGTTCGCAATCCAAAAAACAATCAGAATCCCTACAGTCCATGTGGTTGAAGGGTACACCCCTGACCTCTTAAAATATGCAGACTTACGTTTGAATCCTGATGGACTTAGATATGTAAAATTATTACCTGGGGCAGTTCAGTTGATGATGATACCTCCAGGCCTTGGGCCTTTGTTTTATTTACAGGGGAAATGAAGAATCTTTGCTTACACTTTAGACCACCAGTGCTTACACTTTAGGCCACCAGTACCCCCTTCCTTCCCCAATACACATTTCTGACCACTTCTCACATTCCAAACTATCGCGGGTACAAGCCCTACCGGGTGCCGGCAGCCATTTTGGTCCAATAGGCCAAGTCTTTCCGCAGCACCATCTTAACCAGCGCATGCACACAGGATATAGTTGGAATAGACACCAGTGGTTCGAGTAAGTCAAGGGACATGGTCAAGACAGCCTCTAGTAAAAACAGCAAGACCTTGCAGCAGGCCCTAAGGGGAGGAGTCTCACAGGAACAGACAAGAAGAGCCTTACAAACACAGGAGAGAATGTGCATGCATGCAAGGGAGGTATTCAGCTGCAGACTATAAGATTCGAAGACTGCAGTGCATGGAGGAAGGCATCCCGAACCAGGCAACACTCAAGGTGGGGAGGGAGGGAGGGAGGGAGGCAGGGAGAGAAGGAACAGACAGGGAACGGGAAAGACGGGGAAGGGCAGGAAAGGAAAGGGCAGGGAGAGGAGAGGGAAGCAGAGAGGAGGGCAACTGAAGAGAAGGAGAGAGGGGATGGAGGGAAGGGGGAGGAAGCAAAAACGAGAAGGGAGGGAGGGAGGGAGGGAGAGGGGGAGGGGAGCAAAAGACGGGAAGTAGCCAGCGTGGGAGTTCTTCAAGTGGGCATATGGATTGAGGATGCATGGGAGGACGTGCAGTGGAGGTGTACAGAGGGAGAGCAGGTTATGGTTGCAGGGGAGGAGGACACCATCGATGGCCCCTCACTGTTCGTTTGCCCCTCTACAGAGGGTTGTCAGACCGCCTATGGCCTGTGTCGACCATAGGCTGTAGGTTCGCCTACCGGTCAGGCCGACCTGTAGGCGGTCTGCCGACCGGTCGGCAAACTGCATTGCCTTTTTCTTCCTGACTTTGTGGCTGTTCTGTGCATGTGTCCAGCAATACGGCGGAGATGTGCGAATTGTTCTGCGCATGATCAGAATAGCCAAAATCCGCATTACATTTTTGTTTTGGGGGGGTGGCGGAGGAGGGAAGAGGGGGGGGGGGGGGGGGGGGGGGGGGGGGGGGG